GTTTAACAAGAGAAAATATAAACTAGCTAGCTCTGGAAAGGAGGCCTTTTATTAAGGCAAATCAGCACAATTAGCTACAGGAAGAGGCAGCTTCATAATGTGTTTATGGCTGCATTTTTAACTGAGCATAAAGTTTGGAGGGTGAGTACCAGAGGGAAATTTTACATACACTTTCCTGGATCAAAAACGCTTTATCGGCATTCCCAACACTGGCAGAGTGTTAACAGGCAGAAGTTACACGCACCAGATCATACTTAAATCATTCAGTGTTACATAGGCCGCAGGGAAAGCTCTAGAAGAATGCACATCAAACAGCCAAAACTAATTTTCTTTGGATGCTTGAATTATGTCCACCTTTGCTTACTGTTCTGTTAATATTCTTGTAATGAACATATATTATTCATAATGAAGTTAATTTTAAACAGCCATACTGAAGTGAGATGTAGGTGTAGAAGGTGTCACACTTGGAGAAAACTTCCCTACGAATAGCAGTTCCTTTGTTTTTCCTTTGATTACGCCCCACATAATTTTTTTTTTCTGGTTTATAGTATGATGCCTAGCACGGATCTGTATGCTTCTGTCTGAGCTGAGGCCGAGATGCTGTGCCGGACCATGTAGTGTCGTCAGTAATTCCTGTGCCCTTGCTAAGGCCTGGCTGTCTCAGCACAGATGTAGAAATATGATCTCCGGGGGAAGACAGCTGAAAACGGCCTTGAGAGTTTGAAGACTCATGCCACTTCTAGCTTTTGCACTCTTTGCTTTCTGTTCAGTCGTTGAGGATGTGAGTTCTCAGCTTCCTGCTCTGGCTGCCTTGGCTGCCTGTTGTCATACTTCCTAGGCATGATAGGCCCTTACCCATCTGGAACTGTGAGCCAAAATAAAAACTCTTACTCCCATAAGTCAGTTTGGTCATGCTGTTTTGTTACAGAAAAGTAACTAAGATCAGTCGGTACCAGGAAGTGGCCTGCTGCTGGACAGAACCCAACCATGTTGTTTTCTAAAAGAAAGCGAAAGACTTTAAAATTTGGGGCTAAAGAAAGAGATTGAACACTGTAAGCACAGCCCCAGCCAATGGCTCCTTTTTTATTTTCCTGCCTTCTGCAGTTAATCCAGGTTCTACACTCACATCCACGGATTTGGAGCTAGAAGCCTCAGGTGAGAGGAAACATGAGATGTTTGCTTTTCTGGATCTGGGTTACCTCTTTCAATATGATCTTTCATGTTCTCTCCATTTACAAGTAAAGGTCATGATTTCATTTTTCTTTACAGATGAATAATATTCCATAGTGTGTATATACCTATTACCACTATCTATTCCTCAGTTAAAGACCACTTAGGTTGTTTCCTTGCCTAACTTAGTATGAATAGAGCAGCAATGAACAAGGGTGAGCAAGTACCTGTGGAGTATGATATTTAGTCCTTTGGGCATATGCCAAGCTGGGTTATATAGTACATTTATTTTTAGCTTTTTGAGAGTTCTCCACACTCATTTTCCAGAGTGGGTGTACCAGTTTGCAATTCCACCAACAGGAAATGACAGATCTGTTCTTATATCCTCTCTAGCACTTGCTGCTAGCTGTTTGATGATCTTTGCCATTCTGACTGGGATGAAATGAAATCTGCAAGCTGTTTTGGTTTTCATTTCCCTAATTGCTAGGGACACTGGATTTTTTTTTTTACTTTTTTTTCATTTTTTATATTAATCACAGGTTATTTACTTTGTATCCCAGTCATAGCCCCCTCCCTCATTCCCTCCCAATCTTACCCTCCCTCCCTCATCTCCTCCCAGCCCCTTTCCAAGTCCACTGATAGGGGAGGGCCTCCTCCCCTTCCATCTGACCCTAGCTTCAGGACTGGCTGCAATGTCCTCTTCTGTGGCCTATCAAGGCTGCTCCTCTCTTGGGAAGGGGGGAGTCGAAGAGCTGGTCATTGACTTCATGTCAGAAATAGTCCCTGTTCCCCTTACTAGAGAACCTACTTGGATACTGAGCTACCCTGAGATTTCACCTTACATCCATCAGAAAGGCTAAGATCAACACATGCTGGAGAGGTTGTGGAGAAAGGAGAACCCCCCTCCATTGCTGGTGGGAATGTAAACTTGTACAACCACTTTGGAAATCAATCTGGTGCTTTCTCAGACAATTAGGAATAGTGATTCCGTAGGTATATATCCAAAAGAAGCTCAAGTACACAACAAGGACATTTGCTCAACCATGTTTATAGTAGCTTTATTCGTAATAGGCAGAACCTGGAAACAACCCAGATGTCCCTCAGTTGAGGAATGGATACAGAAATTGTGGTACTTTTATACAATGGAATACTACTCAGCAATTAAAAACGAGGAAATCATGAAATTTGCAGGCAAATGGTGGGACCTAGAAATGATCATCCTGAGTGAGGTATCCTTAAAGCAGAAAGACACATATGGTATATACTCACTTATATAGACCTATAAGATAGAATAAATATACTGAAATTTGTACACCTAAAGAAGATAAACAAGAAAGAGGACTCAGGGTAAGATGATCAATCCTCACTTAGAAAGACAAATGGGATGGACATTGGATGTAGGAGAAAACAAGTAACAGGACAGGAGCCTACCACAGAGGGCCTCTGAAAGACTCTACATAGCAGTGTATCAAAGCAGATATTAAGACTCACAACCAAACCTTCAACAGTGGATATTTTTAAAAGGTATTCCTTAGCCATTTTTTTTTATTCTTTTGAGAACTCTCTGTTTAGATCCCCAGTTCATGTTTTAAATTTTTTTCTATTCTGATTTTGCTTGTTTGTCTGTTTATTGAGTTCTTTATATATTCCAGATATTAAAGAAGGAGAAGGGCACAAGTGGTTTAAAGAGGAAAATGGGAGCATGGACGGGGGCTTCTACTTAGGAAGGGAGGTAAATACAGAAGGAGGGTAAAATAAAAATAAGAATATATGGGAAAGTCATAAGGAATCATACTATTAACCATCACCTAAAAGTAACTATAGTATATGTTAAGTCCATATATAAATATACATACAGAGTTTAAATGAAATGTTCTCACCTCTGATAATTCTTTCTCAGAGCCAAAGATCGTCTAACAGAAATCACAACATAAACCATGAGAATCATTCCTGTGAGTTGCTGATGAAGATTGTCCAAAAGCCTCCCCAGACATACAGGTTATTGCTCTTGGTTGCCCTCAAACAAGTGTTGCCTTTGGTTGACCCCCATCATTCCAAGATGAAAGGTAAGTCCCTATGCTAAACATGCTAAAGATATTATGTACTTCAGACACTGGATCCAGAGGACCTGGGCTGGATCTGAACTGAAAGCCTATTCTCTGAAGACCATTTTTCAAGGAACCACGGAGGTGCCATGCAAGTTGACAAAGGAATGACACAACCAACAGTTCTACCCAGATATGATGCCATGAGACATTAAGCTGTCTTGGTGCCACACCTCATCAAGGAAACTTCTCTTTCCCACAGACACCACGGAAGAAGATGTTTCCGAGGGAACAATAATAGCAGCTTAGCTGTAGCCCATTCCTGTGATTTTTGTAACAAAGGATCTGGCCGCCTTCTGCCTATGCCCTGAAGTTGCCTGAGGCTAAATTAAAAATTAATGTACTAATGCTTTTGGCAGAAGAAATTTCAAGACAGACTAATGTTGAGTCTATGGCATTGTTATTACTGAAAATGATTATGCAGCTCTATAATGAAAAAATGCAAATAGGAAAGAAAGAAATACAAAATATAGTGAGGAAAAAAAGAACACTAGAAAGCTTAAGGTTATAGCCAGGGCTTGTGCTGTAAGAGAGGTTGTAACTGCCAAAGAGAATAGTGAGGTTAAGATTAGGCCCAAAATGGAACAGAGAAAGGCTGGCCTCATGGCAAGACCCTACCTATCTAAATTTCCAACAGATCAAAGAGAGCTAAGTCATTTTTGCACCTAGAAAGCAAGTGAATGAAAGCACTACTGCTAACGTGATTTATGGGGCCAAGGTCCATCCCGAGTTGGCAGCCAAGCTGGGGAGTGTCATCTAAGTGCTGCTGGGCTTAGAGGCATAAAGGATGCAAAAGTGAAGAAACAGTTATGGATTCTTTTTCCCAATTTCAGAGATCCTCTTAGGCCAGCATGTGACAGGAGAGTCCCTTGAGAAGGCTCTGAGAATGCAAGAAGACCTGAGAGGCCATCATATGAAGCTGTGGAAGTAAAGCTTGGAATGCAAAGGACACCCCCCCCCCAAGTGCTGGAAATGACAGAGCTGTGGGATATCTGCCAAGGACTCCTGCATACACGGATTCACCTTAAGGGTGAGAAGTATGTTGTAGACAGCAACGCTGGAGGGGCTGTGCCACCCATCTCTTTAAAATTAAAGTCCTTGAATCTGGACATGGAACTACAGGATTTGGCATCTTGCCAGCTGGGATTCGGAGCTGCTTTGGTTCAGTATTTTCTCCCAATGTCCCTATTCCTCTGTTTTGAAATGGTAATGCATATTCTATGCCATAATATGTTGAATGTCTATCATTTTTATTTTACAGTGGGATTACAATTAGAAATTGTCTTTGAATCTCAGAAGACTGTGAAAGGTTGAGGATTTTTGGAGCTGGACTAAAATAAATTTGCATTATGATATGGCCAATAGCCTGTGCGAACCAAGGATTGGAATACAATGGTTTAAATAAGAAATTTCCTCCACAAGCTCCGGCATTTGAACACCTGCTTCCTACTGGAGGTACTGTTCGGAGGACTTCAGAAGGTGCGGCCTTACTGGAAGAAGCATGTCCCTAGAGGTGGGTTTTGAAATTTTACAGCTCTGTTCCACTCCAGACTGCTCTCTTTGTTCAAATTTGTGGTTAGGGATGTGAGTTCTCAGCCTCTGTTCTGGGCACCATTACTGCTTACTACCTTGCATCCCTGCCATAATGTTAAGAAATATCAATTCTGCAAGTTGCTTTGGCCATGGCACTTCATCATAGCAACAGGAAAATAAATAATACAGTACCTTCAAGATTGTTATATTCCACGTGAAGCTCTCCACCGCCTTCTGTAGTTTCCGTTCCTTTAGTCCCTCCTTGGCGCCTATGCTGTGCAAGTGTTCATGAAATTCCATGGCTGAAGAGATAAAAACAGAGGAAGGCTGTTACTTCCCTAAACTAAAGGTGGTAATGAACCGGCAACATGATCTTCTAGATATAGCTACAACTATTCCAAGCTGCACGGAGATTTCATAAATGTGTCTGTTTAAGAATGTGATGAGAGGAAGCACGGGAGACTCAAGTCATCAACAGATGGAGAATGTCTCTGAGGCCAGTGAACATTCCTCACAGCTCTGCAGGTTGTTACTTCCATCTGCTCTTATTTTAGACATAGGCTGTCAACAACACGACAAAGAGCTAGGGCTGGCCCAGGTATCTAGAGTCTCAGAGGCAAATTTCTTCTCTACTGAGGACCCAGCTCTGGCACAGTAGATGAACAGAACGCAAAGATAACCACTTCCCACCAGTATGAAGTGCAGAGCTGCTGTGTTAGCTTCTGCTGTAGGGTAACTCCATTTAAACTACGTCTGTCTGTCTGCCTAAATATACGCACGTATTTTAGAAAGCTTATTGTTGTAAAGGCTTTACCATATGGGTTTTTCAAAAGGCCTTTGGTGTTAGTTATCCCTTCCCATAATCCTTCCTCTACCTTGTCCTCCCATTTCTAACCTTTCTTGCTCTTTACACTTTGACCCTTTATACCACAGTTTCTATATCCTTTCTCTTGAAAGGCCAGTTCCCATGGCTCTTTACTAAATTCCTAACCTCTATGGGTATTCTAAAAATAATATACATGTATGAACATACAATGCTATTATTTACAAATGAGATAAAAACATAAGGTATTTGTCTTTCTGTATCTGGGTTACCTAACTCAGAATAATTGTTTCTCGCTCCCTTTGTTTACCTCCAAATTGCGTAATTCCTTTAACAGACAAATAATATTGCACGTGTTTTTTATTCACTCATCAGTTGATGGGCATCTAGGGCATTTCCCTTTTCTGGCTATTGTGAATACAGCAGTGTCACTGTTTGAATGGGATGGCCCCATAAACTTCTATATTTGAGGATTAGGAGATGCAGCTTGGAGGAGGTGTGTCCCTAGGGGTGGGCTTTTAGGTTTCCAAAGACCACTCTATTCCAGCTCTCTCTGCTCCCTGTTTGAAGATCACATGTACACTCACAGCTACTGCCCCCAACACCATGCCTGCCTGCCTGATGCTCCGCTCCTATTATTATAATAGAGAGAGTGCATATATCATAGACTTTAATCCTCTGAAAATGTAAGCAGGCCCTCGAACATTTCTTTTGTAAGTTGCCTTGGTCATGGTGTCTCTTCATAGAAATAGAACAGAAATTCAAACAAGCATTTACAAACATTTAAAAAGAGATCCTGGATCTTCATGAATTCAAGGCCAGCCTGGTCTACAGAGTGAGTTCTAGGATTGCCAAGGCTACACAGAGAAACCCTTTCTTGAAAAACAAAAGCAACAATAACAAAAAAGAAAGAAGAGGAAAAAAAAAAGAAAGTGATCTTACCAGTACTTTGAATTCATTCAACAACTTTTGAAAATTCATGCTTATTTTTCCTTTATAGGTGGAAAAATCTTAATTCCTAACCAACTACCGTGACTAGCAATAGTTGAGACTGTTGCTCCAGATTTAAATTCTATCACTTTTGTCCTTAGAGTGGGTCTTACTGAGAATGCATAATCCTTTATCTAAGTAGTTGTATCATGGGACAAAGCAGTCAGGTTCAATTGCTGGCACACTTTTTTTTCTTTGTGTCAGTATGTATGTGCTCTTTTTTTATTAAAAAAATTTTTTATAAAACTTTATTTTCCAAAATTTTGTTTACATAAATAAATTTACAAAATTCATTCAAAACATAACATGATTCCAAAGGATATCGAGGATATTCAGGTAAGTCTTGCTTCTTTTCTGGTGTCTTCTAACTTGAGTTGTCCAGATTCCTTATCTTCTTACTAGTATGTGGTTTGTCTCCCCTTTGCAAAAATAAGCATGTCATGTCCTCATAACCTTCCCCTTCTCACAGAAGGGCACCACACTGCCTGTACTGTTCTGTACCTCAGTTTTCTTCCTTCACTGCAAGTACAGTCTACTCCACACTGATGCCTAGAGCCTGAATTGTTGGATGAACCGGTGTGGAGGTGGCCAGTACTTACTGACCGATGCTGAGAAAACTCATGGCTGATGTTTATGCATTTCCAGTAATATAAAATTACTGTTACAGCTGCTAAGACATTTTCTGCTTTATGGTAATGGGGGTTAAAGTCAGGCTCTTGTGCAAAGTAAGCAAGCATTCTAACAAGATATACCATCAGCTCTATTTAAGTTTTGTTATTTACTTACTTTTAAAGTGGTATACATTTTCTTTACATTTTCGTATTTATGTATTTGTGTGTGTGTGTGTTTATGCATGCATGTGAGCACATGAAAGTGGCATGGCCCACTAAGTAATGGCCAGGGTGAGAGGGCAACTTTCTCAAGCTGTTTCTCTTCTTCCACCATGTAGGTAATGAGATCAAATTCAGGTTATCAGGCTTAGTGGCAAGTTCCTTTACCCAATGAGCCATCCCACTGGTCCTTGAGGTTTAATTTTGAGGTAGGGTCTCACTAAGCTGCCCACGCTGGACTGCCTGGAACTTGCAATCCTCCTACCCCAGCCTCCAGAATAGCTGGGATTGGAGGTGTGTGCCGACTTTCTGCACTATTTCACACACTTTCACTTTTTAGTATTTATCCTCTAATTCACTTCCTATGTGGTATCACTTCAAAACAACTCTAAGCAGTGACTGACAACTTTATTTTTTAGTGTCTTTATCTAGTAATCAAACACTGACACTATCACATGAGGCTGGAGTAATAGTTTAACTACTAAGAGCACTATCTGCTCTGTCTCAGGATCTTGGTTTGATTCCCAGCATGCACACAGTAGCTCACAGCAATCTGTTACTCTAATTCTACAGGACCTAATGCCTTCTGACCTGGGAGGAAAACAGGAACATAAGTGGTACACAGACATACATTCAGGAAAAGCATCCATACAGTAAAATAATTAAAAATACTTTTAAAAAGCTGACACTTTTAAGGTAAATACAATAAGCTGCCACATCAAGTATCCATGGACCAGTCATCTAATAGGTGTAAGAACCTCCCTGATTCTAATTAAGAAGAGCAGGTAGCTTTCTGCTTCTGGGATACCTCACTCAGGATGATCCTTTCTAGATCCCACCATTTACCTGCAAATTTCATGATTTCCTTGTTTTTAATTGCTGAGTAGTATTCCATTGTGTAAATGTACCACAGTTTCTGTACCACTCCTCAATTGAGGGACATCTGGGTTGTTTCCACCTTCTGGCTATTACAAATAAAGCTGCTATAAACATGGTTGAACAAATGTCCTTGTTGTATACTTGAGCTTCTTTTGGATATATGCCTAGGAGTGGTATAGCTGGATCTTGAGGTAGCACTATTCCTAATTGTCTGAGAAAGCACCAGACTGATTTCCAAAGTGGTTGTACAAGTTTACATTCCCACCAGCAATGGAGGAGGGTTCCCCTTTCTCCACAACCTCCCCAGCATATGTTGTCTCTTGAGTTTTTGATCTTAGCCATTCATGGGTGTCAAGTGAAATCTCAGGGCTGTTTTGATTTGCATTTCCCTGATGGCTAAGGATGTTGAGCAGTTCTTTAAGTGTTTCTCTGCCATTAGATATTCCTCTACTGAGAATTCTCTGTTTAGCTCTGTACCCCATTTTTTAATTGGATTGCATGATTTGTTGCTTTTTAATTTCTTTCGTTCTTTATATATTCTGAATATTTAGCCCTCTGTCAGATATACGGTTGGTGAAGATCTCTTTCCAGTCTGTAGGCTGTTGTTTTGTTCTTATAAGTGGATACTAGACCTATAAGATGGGATAAACATACTAAAATCTGTACACCTAAAGAAGCTAAACAAGAAGGAGGTACTGGGGTAAGATGGTCAAGCCTAACTTAGAAAGACAAATGGGATGGACATTGGAAGTAGGAGAAAACAAGAAACAGGTCAGGAGCCATAGAGGGTGACGCTGAGAGTGATAACCAAACCTTGGGCAGAGTACAGGAAATCATATCAAAGAAGGGGGAGATAGGTAGACCTGGAGAGGACAGGAGCACCATAAGGACCAAATAAATCTGGGCACAGGGATCTTTTCTGAGGCTGTTTCTCCAACCAAGGACCATGCATGGATATAACCTAGAACCCCTGCTCAGACGTAGCCCATGGCAGCTCAGCATCCAAGTGGGTTTCCCTAGTAGGGGGAACAGGGATTATCTCTGATATGAACGCAGTGGCAGGCTCTTTGATATCCCCTCCCACCAGGGAGGAGCAACCTTGCTAGGCCACAGAGGAAGACAATGCAGCCAGTCCTAATGAGACCTGATAAGCTAGGGTCAGATGGAAGGGGAGGAGGACCTCCCCTATCAGTGGACTTAGAGAGGGGCAGGGAAGGGAGGGTGGGATTGGGAGGGAATGAGGGAGGGAGCTACAGCTGGGATACAAAGTAAATAGCCTGTAATTACTATAAAAATAAATAAATAAATAAATAAAAACAAAAAACAAAACAAAACAAAAAAGAAGAGTAGGTAGAAAAATTCACCCCAATGAACATAGAACATTCTGCTTGTCTACCTTCTGCTTTGCTAATCAAGGCACCAGTGACATCCCAATGTAGTTAACTAAACCCAGTCCACTCGGTGCTGGTGAACAACTCAGACAATAAGCTGTACCCTCCATGACTAGTTTTCTCTGTAACAGACTAAAGAAAAACAAGACACACAAAAATGAAAGGCAACAAGGCTGGCGCTCAGTGGGTAAAGGGTTTGTTGTGCATGCATAAGGAGTCAAATTTGATCTCAAGAAGTTTGACCTCAAGATCTTGTGTACAAAAGCCAAGTGTGGTGTCTAGTATTTGTAACCCTGGAACTGGGGAGTGGAGACAGGAGGATCATCCCTGGGACTAGCTGGACAGACAGCCTTGTCTACTTGATAAACTTCAGGCCATTAAGGGATACT